AGTCCGGACCACAGAATGCCACGGAGATGCAAATCTACACCGTTCTGAATGTTTGGGAGTGTCCTTGGAGATACAAAGTTAAAAATGTTCTTGTTCGGTAATAGTGAGCTGTTGCAGTTTCAGACAGTAAGTGCTGAAGGCAGGGGTTAAGGCTGGGTCAGCATCTACTGATGCAGAGGATTAGCTGTTCTTGCTTTGGAAACCTGTCAGAAAACATATATTCCTGGATGGTAGGGTGGAAACTTTACACTATCTTTTCAAGTGTGTATTTTCTCCAAAAAGGCCCAGGACCTCTTTCAGGAAGGCTTCAACTCCATCCGTTCCTACACTGAATGCGTTTTAAAGAATTTCCTGAGTCTCTTGCTCCTCTCTTGGTCAATAATACTCTACAGTCAGCAGTACTAAATGCTCTCAGAGAAGGCCACAGTTGAGGATGGATATTCTACCATGCCTTGGCCTAAAGCCAGTCTGCACTCAGTCTAGAACACTGGCTTTAAATCAGAGTGTTTGTGAGTGGCTTTTGTTGACTGGATTGGCTGTGGATCTGTTTGAGGACAGGGTTAGTGCCATGTGTCCAGATATGTAGCTTTTTCTTTTACTTGAGTTGTATGGGTAGTTTCAGAAAGGAAGAAGGAATTCTGCTGAGTAAGTTAAGGCCATTTTTCCTGGGCCAGCTGATATCTTGAAGGAAGTTTGTTGAATCACCTCAATACAGAGACAGGGACTGGGCTGAACAGATGAAGTGCATGGTCCAATGCTTCAGATTAGACCTAGGACCCCTCTGCACAGTGTGCACAAGCACTTTGTGAAGTGCCAGACACCTTGTGACATACATGACTGGTGAAGTGAGCTGCTCATTGGCTTGTAAAAGGGTTTCACATCAATGCACAAATGATACAGCATGTGATAAAAAGTGTAGAGACCCACTCAACCTGCAGCTTGCAAAGTTTATTTGCACATCTATGGAGGAAATTTCATACCTCCCACTGTGGACAAGCAAACAGATATTTGCAGATGCATATTCTTCAGTATCATGACTTTTTGGACATGAGTGCACATCAGAAAATGTACATATGAATACTTAAGGTAGACTTTTGGGCAATATTAGTTCTAAAGATCAAAGAAGGAAACAACACATGATCTGTGCTCCAACAACAAGGCACTGCACAGTGCAATGGGTTCACTCAGAGGCAATGTGAGAGCCATTCTGCCGAATGCAATGAATTTGATCCAGAATTGCTGAGAATAGAAATGTACCCATGAAATGCTTTCAGATGAAGAGCAACACGATACATTTTATGAATTAGATACCAAAGCAGAACACAGAGAAGAGATGAACAACACAAGGCTGCAGAGACTCTTCACACAAAACAAAAAAAATTCCTGAAGGTAAGAAAGTAAGAACAGGGAAACACTAAATAGATTTTTCTGGGATAATGCATAGTCCCCATCACTAGTAAGGTTTTTGAGAACAAGCTTAACAAACAATTGGTAAAGTGGATGATATCTGAAAACTATATTCATGTAACGGTTCATGCTTTGTGCAGAGGAGGAGACTAGTCTAGATGACCTCCGAGAGCTCTACCAACCCTATTTTTCAAGCCTGTAACAGTGTTTTCTTTACCACCCACCTTATCAGCACTATAATCAAGTCATGACTCAGATTTATTGGTGTAACTAATGTCAGTGAACAAAGCTGGCTGGCTGTGTAACAGTCCATTGAGTCGTTTCTGTTCAGCACAGATTTTTTACATAATTGGACCCAAATACACTGCTATAGAGAGGAGGTGGTCACTCACCTGCTCTGGGCTTGCCCAGTGAGCAGCACAGGTCTGTGGAGTGGATCAGATGTGAGTGCAAGGTTGCCTTTTTTCCTCTGTCCCATAAAAATCCTATTATGCCCTTGTCATTGTATCGAATTATTCTATGATACAGTACAAATGCAGGAAACCTTATCATTATTTTTTTTTATTGTTTAAATGTAATGGCCCAAGGTAGGACAGAGCCCTCCTGTGCTGCAAGGCAGTGGAAACATTCATCACAGAACAGCTCCTGTGCAAAATGTGCATCGGGATGTGGGAGGAAAATTTGCAGCATTCAAATGCATAACCTGTGGCAGGAAGCAATGCTGAGATAATTATATGTGCTTGATACTATTCCAAGATTAGGAGATTTAAGTATCTCCACTGCTACAAATTAAACAAGAGGGTTAAACTGGCCTGCCAGCTCCTGTTAGCCTGGATCCAGAAGAATAGTCCTTAGTACAGGCTCTGGCTTTGACCAGTTCACAAATTTAGATTTGTTTGAAGTAAAATATAAGTAGATAAAATGACTAAAATGGTTTTGAAGAGTGAATTGTTAGACCTTGAAGTGGAGATATGCAGCTATCACCCTTGTGAATTTGTTGGACTTTTGCCCTGGAAGTCTAATTACATCCATTTCTCATCAGCTTGGGCAGCTGAGTAATAGCTGCAGCATGTGCATAGCAGAAGGAGAGCATTCTGCAAACCTGTGGAAATTACTTCCACTGCAGTTAATGGGACTCTTCGTGTGAGTAACTCTTTACAGGATTAGATCTTTGGCTTTAGAGAAGAAACATCAAAATCCATCAGTTGTTGAAGAAAGGGGGAGAGCTAGAGGCTCTGATTACCTCTGACAGCTTTGACTCATTTCTGATCATAAGGGGAAAATGGTAGAAGGCTTAGTGAAGAAACAGAACTGCTGTTGGTGAGAAAACTTTGTACTGAACCTGCCAGTGGTTGGTTGCGATTGAAAGGACCTAAATGTGGGCAATGATAGCAACAAATGAAAAACATTTTATCAGGCCAGATAGTATTGAGTTGCTCTGCTCTGGGGTCAACATAATTTCCCATTTCTGAGTTATCTACTGGATAAAGTAATGCTTAACAGTTATAAGCTGCCTCAGCTGGAGCAGGGATAGTTCATATGCTTTGTGGTAATTTTAAATAACTTCTTAGGGAATGTTTTGTTTCATCTGTAACAGCTAGCTAGAGAGTTTCAGTGATTTATTTTCAATCACACCTTATCAGTTTAAGGTTTTAGGAAAGCTGTGAATGCTTTCTTCCTGGGGGTCCTGAGCCTTTTTTTTCTGTATTGTTGGTTTTGTTTGTTTGTTTGTTTGTGTTTGTTTTTGTGTGTTTTTTGTTTGTTTTGTGGCTCAGTGTCGTGGTTTAACCCCACTCATTTCCCAAGAGTAAAAGTGAGAAAACTTGCGGGCTGAGATAGAGGCAGTCTAACAGGGAAAGTAAAAGCCACATACAGAAAACAAAATAAGGAATTCATTCTCCTCTTCTCATAGGCAGGCAGGCATTCAGCTGCCTCCAGGAAAGCAGGAGTCCATTGCACAAAATGGGGAGTTGGGAAGCTAAATAACATCACTCTAAACATCCCCTCTGCCTTCTTCTTCTCTCAGCTTTATATGCTGAGCATAATGCCATGTGGGCATCCTTTGGGGTCGGCTGTCCCAGCTGTACCCCCTCCCAACTCTCTGTGCACTCCCAGCCTCCCCACTGCTTGGGTGGTGTGAGAAGCAGAACAGGCCTTGCTGCTGTGTAAGCAATGCTCAGCAATAACAGAAATATCTTTGCATTGTCATCTCTGTTTTCACCACAAATCCAGAACATAGCACCCTACTTGCAACTGTGAATAAAACTAACTCTGTCTTAGCCCAAACCAGCACTCTCAGGAGTACAGATCAGTTCTGTATAAATTCACTTTCATATTGGTCAGCTGGCATTTAGATGGCAAGCTGGCATCTGTCAGCAAGGGCAGTTAGGAGCATGATGCAAACTCAACATAGTCTAGCACTAAAGAAGTGGATGAGAAAAGAGGTTGCTACTTATTTATGTGGCTTGAAAGTTTTCAACTTCAAGGCTGGAATAGAATCTGAGGGGCTGTTACTCCAAACAGATGTAGTTGCATGACTGTTCAGTACAAAAGGGGAAAACCCCATTGTTGTCTGTGCTTACTTACTGGGATTTAAGGGTATGTGCTTGGATATCTCCCTGTTGTAGAGGAGGGAGAGGCTGGTGCATGCCCACCATTCTGGGAGCTGCCTGAGTATGCACCCAGACACAGAAGGAGATTTTGGCTTCTCTAGCCTAAAACGAAAAGCAGATTTCCCTCCTCTTCCTGTCTTGTACTACACGTAGGCTGCTAAGGCTGGGTAGTCTGATGCAACATACCTGATTAGAACAGCTGATTTACTATAGCAGTGGGGTGCAAGATGAACAACTTTCTGCACAGTCTAGAATTGAATGAGACTGGGACAAAGGAGGAAAAATACAAGATTGTAATTGCTTATTTTTCTTCAAGTAAAGTGTTATTGTTACCAATGTCATCAATTTAGCTGTTGGTCTCCCAACTGTTTTATATCATAGAACATTGGCTCCCAAGTAAAGGAAGCAAAAAATCATTGTACAACATTTTTATAAATGCATTAATCATTCTCATTCAGCAACATAGCAATTTAATAATTCCACGTGCTTGAAAACTGATGTTTTTATGGCAACATACATTTTTATAGTGATAAAATGTCCAAGTTTTAAAACTGAGCCATAATTTCGATATTAAATACAGGCTTTGTGAGCAGTACCGCGAATTGCCACACGATGGCAGGATGATGACATGTTAAAGCAAATATCCTCAAGCACGTTGTGGTAGTCATAGCAACTAGTTTGAAATGTAGTCTAAATATGTTTTGCAGAGAAAAATATTTTTCATTTTGCATTTGGAGGTGCAAGTGATGTTGCCTATTTTTTTTTTATTTTATTTTTTAGATAGTCTTAAAATAAGCTGCATGGTACAGGTCTGACATTCTATTTGATTGAAAAAAAACAGTTAACATGACACAAGGAGTTCTTGTCACAAGCCTTTCAATGGAAATCACAGAATATTAGTTTTCTGTTGACGTGGTTGTTTCTTTTGTTTCTTTGTTTGGGTTTGGGTTGTTGTTTGTTTCTGTTGGGTTTTTTTAGGTGGTGTGGGGTTTGTTTGTTTTTCTGTTTCTGTTAGGGTTTCTCTTTTTGCAGGTCCTTCTTTCCAGGAAGCCTTATCCTTATTATACTGCAGCAGACCTTTGCTTCTTCACATGAAACCAAAGAGCCTGAGTTCCTCATCAGTGAAGAGGAGCTGCGGATAGTGGTGAGAAGTATTTTTCATTTGCTCCTACTGAAACTGTCTTAGGCATCCAAAAAGTCTTTGAGCCAAATGTCAGTCAAAAGGCAACAGGTTTATCTTAGTTACACCCTCACTGAAAGAGGTGTACGTTTCTTACAGAGTACAAGCGGAAGAATTTCTTTACTCTGAGGGTGACTGAGCACTGGCACAGCCTTCCCAGAGAGGTTCTGGGAGGCTCCTTTCCTGGACACAATTCAAAAGCCATCTGAACACAGTCTTGAGTAGCTGTAAGGATCCTGTTTGAGCAGGAAGGTTGGATCAGATGATGTACTGTGATCCTTTCCAACCTTGAACATTCAGTGGTTGTGTAACATGAAAACAATTAACAAAATCTGGACTGGTTTTGATAATTTTGAAATAACCATGAAGAAATTAATACGCTAAGTCTTTGGTGTTTCTGAGTATTCAGACAGTGGCAAATTGCTTTCAGAAATTAGTTCTTAAAACAGCCCAAGAATTTGGTGAAAATCTTTATATTATGATGTTTGGTTTTCTGATGTTTGGTTTTATTCCATTCACACATCTGTCTGTCAGGAAAATAATCCAGATACTCTATTATCACAGCATAAAGTCAAGAAAGAACACCACCTAACTATGACTTGGGCCAAAAACAGTGGCAGGTTCTTCCGTGAAATCCTGGTGTCTCTGCTTTTGTTCTTGTGAGGATGTTTCAGGACTGAGATCTCACTCTGCAGAAGCTGAAGTTAGCAAGGAAGGATTCAGTTATACAGGATACATTCCCCAATGCAGGGGGAAAAAGTTTTAAACAAGCTTAAAAACTTTTGACTGTGGAAAATTCAGACACTTTGTGATATTGAAACATCTTGTAATCTCAGATTGCTGCAAACCTCACATTTCTAGTGTTTTCACTTGAAATGATTGGAAATCATGTAAGAATTGCCCCTCATCACCTGATACTGCTGATTCTAATCTTTTAAAAACCTGAAAATTTCTACATATCTCAGTATATTCAAAATGCTTTGGTCCATATTCAGTTTGAGAGGGGAAAAAAGGAAGATTTTGCTTATATCCTGTCCTCTGTCTCTCTTTGCCCAGCTGCACTAGCCTTTACCATGTAGGACTGTTATGCCAAACATTTATGCAGACAGATTATTCTTTCCCACATTGTCATGTTAACATTATTTTAGCAAAACCACACATTTTCTGAATATTGATTTTGACATTAAAATGTTATGATTTTGGGTCTAACTCTAACAGAAGAGACAAACAAATGAAAAACTCTCAGCCAGTGTGTGCAGAATGGCTGGAGGGAAATGAGGCATCTTGCTTTTTAATGGAAATCTTCAACTCCGTGTATTCAAAAAAAACTGTAACAGCCTTAAAACAGAGTTGTTTTGAGGTTTTGTTTTGAAGTTTGTGATTACCATCATATATATGCATAAAACATTTTTGTTATTCACATAGTAATTTGCATAAACACCAAGGCTTTATCTCAAAATGCTCATGAAGAAAGCTGTTATGTTGGGTCAACTGGAAGTTTTTCTCCGTTACTGTAGGGATTTCAGTTAATTAAATTCAAAGAATCTATTTGACTGCTAATGCCTATTATACTTCAGATAAGAAAAAAAAAAACAAAACATTTTTCATGAGTCTGTGAGGAGAGACACTGCTAATGTACCTCCTGAGCTGTAGTCACAATACACATTGAAACTTAGGAAGCATGGCCTGCCCAAAGGTTGACTTACTATTTTAGCAGGGCATACCCATCTGTAACGAATGGCTCTTCTGATGCATTTATTGTATAAAAATGAGCCATTTTTATACAACTTTTAATGCAATGGAAGTCTGACTATAATATTATACTCTGCGTGTGACTTACTTAGTATAGCGTAAAAAAAAGGAGGAGGATGCAGTTGCAGGGTCTTTAGCTAAATTATCATTCCAGAAATTTTCTGAGAGTCAGTAAGAAATTAAGAAAATTTTGTTGTTTGTTTGTTTCTTTGGTTTTTTATAAGTTTTGGGTTTTGTTTGGGTGTTTTTCATTTTTTTTTGTTTTGTTACTTGTGTTCTACTACTTTCTGATTGCCACTTTGGTTCTCCTAACTGAAAGAAAAGCCCTGGAGTGGCCACTTCCTGACTTATTTGTAACAATATAGGAATTCAGATGGAAAACTAGGTCAAAATCATGTAACAGCTGACCCAAGAATTTGAAACTGATATAGCCAGGAATCCCTAAATGTCTGTATAAATCAGAGCTGATTTATACAGGGGGACATAACCTACAAACAGTGGAGATGCTTTTACTCTATACTGTTGTTACTATATAAATGTGACCACTAAAGGTCCACATTTTCTCACAGGCATCTTCCATAAATCTCTTTGTGAGACTCCCCAAAATGGTCTAAGCTGTACTTTTTAAGACAAGACAGCTACTCCATTTAAGAAAGGAAGTACTAGAAATCGTATTCTTTAATATATTTAATAGTATTCACTCTACTGTCAATATATATCTTAGAATCATGGAATCACAGAATGAGGTCTCATGAGAGTGGAGTAGAGGGGGCAAACCACTGCTTCTTTTGATGCAGCCCAGGCTATGACTTGCTTTCTGGCTTGCAATCACAGATTACTAATTTAGGTCTAATTCTTCATCCAGCAGTATCTCAAAGTTCTCCTCTGCAGGACTGCTCTCAAAGATAATTCTATAATGTTTCAGGATTCTTACCATTCAGATATTGTTTTGCATTAGACATTCCACAAAAAATACACTAATATTTACCATTAAAACTAATTTTTATACAACTTTAAATCTTTTGCAAAGTGAATAATAATGCAAAAGGCACCCAGGGTCAGGGACTGAATATGTACAGATTTTATAGACCTGAGGACTTGAAAAGACTCAATTGCTGTCTTTGTTTCAAAGAGACAATTTGAGACATTGGGTAGGTGAAAGAAAAGAGTATAGATAGAGTAAAGGAAATGTGAGCTTGAAAGCCTGAGGAGGAGAGAAAATTGGAAGAGAAAAAAGATGATACAATCCAATTGAGCAGAAATAGAAAACAAAAAATCATCAAGAGACTTGCCTTTAAAAGAGACAGTAGAATGAAGATATATTTTATAGGATGCTATATTGGATAAAAGGAGGCCTAAAATGAAAAGATATGTGCAACAAAGGCATCCGTCAGATAAGTTTCTTCTCTTTCTTTTCCTGGCTGAGGGCTTTCAACCCTTTTTGCATTTGGTTGATTGCAAAGTATCAAAGATCTCAGAGGGTCACAGTCATCTTTGGCTTTTGTTGGTGAGAGGTCCTATTGCATGTTTCTCCTGCTACAATAAGACACCTTTCCCTCAAGAGGAGTAGGTGGAAAGCTATGCAGGCTCCTTTCTACCAGTACATGGTAGAAATACAAGAGCCAGAGTGTAGACTACTATGTATCCAGTGGGCCAAATGCACTCTGGAGTTATTGAAGTAGAGTTCAATTCTTACTCAAGAGACTAGGATTTTAGCCAATATAAAGTTTGATGCAATGTTGATGCTCTTCTTTTCTGCTATTTTGTGGTTTTATTTGGCAAACTTCAGCTTTTCTTTCTCCACTTTTCTACAACGTCACTAGATCTGATCTTCTGAAATGTTAAAATGTCAAAAGCCTTACATCTAAGTGATGCTCCAGACACAGATGTATCATAGTCCTTTAGAAAGCCAAGCCTGTTGGACACTGGTTCACTCTCAGTCAGATCCTCACAGAGTGGCTGCTCCCTGACATGGGCAGCAATGTGCTGGGGCTACTGCTGAGGAGACATTGCAGGGAGAGCCTGAGCTGTGGGCAAGGCACAAAATAAATAAATAGACTATTCCAAATCAGTTCTACTAATAACAAGAGGTTGTAAATTCTTTCCCTAATGAGAGTTTCCCTGCATTAGGAGGCAACCATGCAGGGACTGATGGATCCAGCACTCAGAAATTCATGTTCAAGGGCTACACTGGGGAGAGCAGTGTAGCTAGCAAAATATAAAGAGTTTTTGCTTTTTAAACCCATACTACAAAAAGTGAAGTCAACATAACCTGGCAACGAGCACTCATATCCCAGAAAGCCAACTGTATTCTGGGATGTATCAAAAGAAGCACGGCCAGCAGATCGAGGGTTGAGATTCTGCCCCTCTGCTCTTGTGAGACCCCACCTGGATGCATCTGGCTCTGGGGCACCCAACATAAGGACATGGACCTGTTGGAGCTGGTAGGCCACAAAAATTCTCTGAGGCCTGGAGAATCTGTCCTATGAAGACAGGCTAAGAGAGGGTTATTCAGCCTAGAGAGGAGAAGGCTCCAGAGGGAACATATAGCAGCCTCCAGTTCCAAAAGGGGGCTTACGAGAAACCTGTAGAGGGAGACTTTTTACAGGGGTGAGGGGTAATGGTTTTAAACTGAAAGAGATTAGGTTTAGACTAAATTGGAAGAAATTGTTTACTGAAAGGTGGTGAGGCACTGGAACAGGTTGCCCAGAGAAGTTGTGACTGCCCTATCCTTGCAAGTATCCAAGGCCAGGTTGGATGGGACTCTGAGCAACTGAATCTAAAGGAAAGTGTCCATGTCCGTGACAGAGAGGTTGGAAGTAGATGATCTTTAAGGTCCCTTCCAACCCAAGCCATTCTATGACACTAAGGTCCCTTTATGTTGAAGGAAGACTGGAATCTGGGCCAATGTAGCTGCAATCTTTCTGAGTTTGCTTCTAAAATCTTTGTCTCACCCTTCATCCTCTCAGTTTAATTATTGTAACCCTCTCTTTACCATGGCTGCTTTGTACTTTCACCAGCAATCTGCCTGGGTGCTGTTTTGTCCATGGCAGGTGCCTCTTTGGACAATAAGCTGAAGCTTGATTGAGCTGTACTTCACCTCCACCTCATTTCTGCTCTGCTGTCTCTCCCCTGACTGCTCAGTCACTGTGTTTTTGCACATTTGTAGGGGTGCTCAATGCTTTTTTCAGCACCTCTGTCCTCATTCTCTA